TCTTATCTAACTCTTGCCTTTTTTTTCCATACTGTTCCTGCTTTCTGTATTCAACGGTGCCTTCGACACTTCGGTTTCCAGGTTGACATCTGATTGCTACAATCGGTTTATATCTGCTTATTTCAGGTAATGAAGAGCGAAGAGGGGAACAAACCTGCAGGGCTAACTCGGCCAATGAGCCTACGGCAATACGTGCCGCTAGCTGCGTTGAAGCATCGTTAAAATAGGTATCTGAATCCACACCAATACCACCACATGGAAGTTGCACAAAACTTTTCACTGGAAGTTGTGAAGGTTCCATCTGAAACAATCCGGGCATGCGATCGTCTCGATTTATCGCAAAAATAGGTGGGAAGTATCATAAAAGTAGAAGGGATACGCTTCTGTTTGCGTCTCAGGGACATTGACGAATCAGGCCCAGTAGTCAAAGTAAACTCGATTACAAGGTAAACAGACTTGGAGTTGTAGTTCGTAGACATTTTTCTGGCTATAAAGTTTGCAAATTTTCCTGTTACTCTGTCCAAAGCTATTTCACAAGTGATCAGACTGCTGGCACCTGCTGGCACTTCGACGCAGAAATCGCGTAATATATCAAATAATGATTAATGGTTTTTGTTAAAAATAGATTAAAGATCAACTGCGTTACTATGACGCAGATCCCTGTCCCTGGTTCAAACTTTAACCACCCTACCCTCATTAAACCTTCGATCTTTGTTCACTGGTGTATAAAAGCACTCCTCCCCATCGCCGGGATCAACACTACCGATCTTCAACTGCGACTTATTTATATATAACTAATATTCCTATTCTGGGGAGCTTCGGCTCCTCAAAGCCTCACCACTTTTTATGCATTATCCTTTTACTTTACTATGTATAATAAACATGTATATAGGACGCGACGTGTTACACACACATGCACACACTAGTCTAATAAAATAACGATTAGGGTCGCGATACAGATATTCCTATTTGGAATGATCACTTCTTGGTTGGACCTCCATGGCTCTTTCTACCCTTTTTATTCTATTATATTTCCGCTTCTAACCACTGGCCTAATTTACTGATGTCCCCTCTTTTTGCCATCAAATTCTAAGCTTGGAATATTTATATTTGCAAAATTTACTAAACTATTTGGAAAGAGAGGTTTACCTCGAGGCAAGCTGTTGGTGATACAGCAAAAAAGGTGACATATGTTGCGGCATGAACGGTTCGTAGCATTTCCAGGGGCGCCTTTCGAGCCAGCACACGTTCACATTTCTCCAGTAAGCCACGCTCTTGCAATCGCGACCAGACCAGTTGTACACGTTCACCGTGTTCCACGTGATTCTTGTTATTACCACAAACACAATGGTGCTTGGCCATTGCTGAGTCATACACCAAGCCTGAAGTAACAAACGAAGAATGAGCAAAATTTTTCTACCAATTCAATCACCCATAACAAACGAAGAATGCACAGAATCTTCAAATTTCGATGAAAAAATTTCCCGCATTCAGCGCCGAAATTCACCGTTAATCAGACATTACAATGGAATATTATTGATTCCCAATTTGAAACATAGGCTTGAAAGTTTGATCACTCTTGTACATGAAGAATTTTGTTCCAGAAAAAATATAAATGGAGTGTAAGGAGGAGCAACAAAAAGCATGCTTTCTCGATAAAGGGATCAAGGGTTCGATTCCATCAGTGGGGCAGTCTGTCCCTCCAAAACCCGATTCACTTGGACTGCAAATTGGGGATGACGTGCTAAGCAATTTAAGGTTTTAAGCATCAGACTGTTTTTAAGCTACCCTTGAAAAGGAGAACAATCCGTCGGCGAAGCCAAAAAGGCTGATGAATCAGTCTGAGAGGGCACAGAAGTTGTTATCAGCTGCTGTAATCTAAAAATTACAGTAGTCTTTATCGGATTATCTGTGAAAGCTTTCATGATATCGTGATCTGAAGGGTGTCAACGATCGTAAACGTTGATAAAGCAGCGACCATCCTTTATCGTTTTTTGATCAATCGATGGCTACTGGACGATGGATCCGTTCGGCGATAATAACGAAGTAGGGAATATGCGGCATCTACACGGCAGTACCAGGGCCTCAAAGGAGAATTTCATCAAATCAATATATTCTGATTTGTGCCTCCACCACAACCATGATTCCAGATGATATCTCTGTCGCAGTTTTGAACCGTCATAAAATTTTTTTTCGGAAAAAAAATCGAATCGCTGAATTTCACCGTGAAAGATAAGAGACTTGAAACTAGAACAAAATCATCAGTCCGTTATTATATTTCAATTTCGTGGCTATATTCTATAAAAAGGGCAAATTCAACGCATACGGGAAGTAAAACCCTCAATCCGTGAAATTTTTCTGTTCACCTGTTTTAAGCTGTGTTCTCAACGCGATCGACAATCCTGGACCACTCTGTAGACGTGAAAAAAGTTGTGCTTCAAGCGTCGCTTCATCTTCCGGCTCCTCCTGCACCAGCGATTTTCGTCGTAACATCAAATCATGCAACTGTTGTTTCAGCAACGATGGATAACCACCAAGCGGCAGTGGAGAGCTCAATGTTCGGCTGTCCAACTTCGTCGATTGTCGTGCTACACCTTCTAAAAAAAAAAGAAAAATTTCCCGGAGTTGTACCTGCTTGGGATAAATAACACAGATAGATAACGATCAGTTTTGGAGAAAATAAAGGAAGAAATTAAAATGAGGAAATTTCACCAATTTACGAGACGTTATACTCAAGAAGAAACAAAATGGAAAGGAAGGAAAATAGAAGCCCAGCCAAAATAGGGACATAGAAGCCCAGCCTTCAAGCAGAATCGATGGGTAGGTCGAAATTGTGAAATGGTAATGTACAGCCGTAGGTAGGCCAAAGAATACCTTGTAAAGTA